AGAGAGAGAGAGAGAGAGAGAGAGAGAGAGAGAGAGAGAGAGAGAGAGAGAGAGAGAGAGAGAGAGAGAGAGAGAGAGAGAGAGAGTGACGTTGCGTTGAGAAGAGCAGGAACAGAGAGAGAGAGAGAGAGCTGTGGTATACCATCACGAAGATCAATGGCCAATTATATTCTCTATCGCTTTTTTTTTTCCCCGTCTCACTGGAAGATAAACCCGTTCGAACAACCTCCTGGGCCGAGGTCCCACTAGCAAAGTGGAGTGGATTAAATGCCTGAATCTAGACGTGTTTGTGGAAATGTGCAGAAAAATAGAAATCGCGACTGAACTGCTTTTCTGCATCTCTACTTGACACAAGTCCTCACCCATATAGAACGCCCGGTCATTATAACTCTGTATTTCGCACAACTTTCGGTTCACATGCAACGACAATGACCAGGCGGCGTTCTATTAGGGTGAAGACCCTTGTCTAAGCTTACGCGCGCGCACGTTCCCTAAAGCGTGCGGGTTTCGATCGGCTGCACTCTGATCATTCTCAGGGGGCTACCAGCAGAACCATGCCTTGCGGCAAGGCCCATCAAGATGAGGAGAAAGGAGTGCAAGATGTAGAGAAAGCCACAGGAGAGAAAAGAGAATCAAAAAAGAAGAAATGGGGCCGTGTCTCAGTCCCAATGTGCTGATCATCCGAAATGAGCAGCTAAGCATAATCGGCTTCGTCAAAATGAAAAAAAAAAAGAAAAAAAAAAAAGGAAAAGCTACGCAGAGAGGGAGAAGAGGACAACAAACAAGGGGCTGTGACAAATATGTTGTCACACTGTGAATCAGAGCGCGAAGGCGAAAAAAAGCAAAACAAGGAAAGGAAAAGAAGTAAGGAAGGAAAGCCCCACCTGTTCATCACCTCTTACGTACAAGGCCAGCCACGTGGATGACAGGTTGAGCTCTGGCTGCCCCCATCCCCATGTGTCACAAGGACCCACTTGCACGCAGCCAAAAGGCAAAGAGGTAAAGAAAAGGAGGAGCTGCCCGGTAAACCGTAGGCATATATATTGTCACAGAACTATTGACTAAGAGTGCGAACATGTGAAGTAGAAGAAGAAATAAGATGAGCGAAGAAGAGACAAAATGAAAGGGCAGACAGGCAAAGAGACAGACAAACCAGAAAGACAGAAAACAGTGTCTTCTTCTTCTTTGTTAAGTGTATTCCTATTCTTTCAGTGTTTTACAATTTTTTTTCACTGAACAAAGGATAAAAATAATAAAAAAACAAAGACGCATTGAAATCATTCAATTTCTCAGTCTTCTCAACTCCTCCACTGCGCCTCTCATGTACAAGGCTCGCCACGTTGATGAAGTTGAGCGCGAGCTGCCCCCATCCCCGTATGCCATACCAGCCCACTTTCACGCTGTGTGAAAGAGGCCGAGTAAAGGGAGAGGTTTTAAACATAGACGAGGAAGAGAAGGGCAGAAAATAAAAAACGCTAGGTGATGGGAAGGTGACACAACTTCTTCTTTCTTTTACTGTATTCTTCTTTCTTTCACAGTTTTGCAGTTTTGCACCTGCACTTCCTTCTCTACTTTTTGTTCTCATTTTCATTTTCACCCTTCGGACTTTTTCTTTGAGGGTGGTAGGGTGCAAGGTACAAACAAAGTAACATGACACACACTTCTTCTTCTTCTTTCTTTTACTGCAGTCTTCTTTCACTGTCTTGCAGTTTTATTGAAGGGCCTCCCACTTTTGTACACTCTTTTCAGCGCACCTGCACCTTTTTGTTAGGGTGCAAGGTACGTCTGAGTAAGACACTCACAACAGATAGGACAACTATAACTATCATAAGGACACGGGCAATGGTATATATAACCACAACCGAGGTTAAGAAGGTGGATTATCACTTACAGTGTAATCAGTTAGGGGATTCTGCAGACTGTTTGTTGAGGGTTCAGCCTCCTGATGAGTCAGTGAAACTCCAACGAAACAGTTTGTCACAGACCGTCGTTTGTTGTCCTCTTCTCCCTCTCTGTCTGCGGTTTACCGGGCAGTTCTACTTGACTATTTATATCGTCAAGTGAAACTACTACAACAATATCTATGTACGACGATATATGTAATATTATATATAATATTGTAATATATATCTGTTGTTTGACGACATATATCTATATACCGACAGTCTGTAGAGGTTCCATCTGGTGTGGGTGAGTGATAGTCTGCTTTGATTTCCGTCACAGGTACCTTGAGGGCAGTGGTTGGTGGTCCCCACTACCTCAGGGTATCAGTTGTCAGGCCGCCGTTGAGGCTTAATCACAACTGAGGTTAAGAAGGTGGATTATCACTTATAGCGTAGTCAGTTAGGGGATTCTGCAGACTGTTTGTTGAGGGTTCAGCCTCCTGATGAGTCTGTTGGTGAGACTCCGACGAAACAGTTTGTCACAGCCCCTCACTTGTTGCCTTATTCTCCCTCTCTGCCTACGGTTTACGGGGCAGCTGTGTTTGACGATACATATATATATATATATCGTCATATATATATCGTCACAAATAGAACTGCCCGGTAAACCGTAGGCAGAGAGAGAGAAGAGGACAACAAACGAGGGGCTGTGACAAACTGTTTCGTCGGAGTTTCACCGACTCATATATATATATATATATATATATCGTCACACTGTGAATCGGAGCGCAAAGGCGGAAAAAGACAAAACAAAAAAAGGAAAAAGAAGTAAGGAAGGAAAGCCCCACCTGTCCATCACCTCTTGCGTACAAGGCCAGCCACGTGGATGACAGGTTGAGCGCTGGCTGGCCCCATCCCCGTGTATCACAAGGACCCACTTGCACGCAGCCAAAAGGCAAAAAGAGGTAAAGAAAAGGAGGAGGAAACCAGACCTCACAGAGGCAAGAGAAGGAGAAAAGGATCCAATCAAAGAAAAAAACAAAGGAAAAGGAAGGCCTATCAGTCAACCAAAGCAAATGACACATCCCAGAGACAAACCAATTGCCACTGTCATAACAAAGTTCAACATTTTTATTTTTTTCTTGTTTTCTTTTTTCTTTTCTTCAGAAATTTGTTCTTTTTTCTCTTTTTTCTTTTTTTTCTTTTCGTTTTTTCAAGTTTTTCTTTCTTCTTTCTTTAACTCCACATCTGTTGGTAGTATCGAAAGCTTTATCTGTCCTACAATTAGTGTTGCTTCTGACCTGCCTGATTCTATTTACCAGTCAGGAAGAGGAGCCCCCACCTCGGCAGATAGGACAGGCACGCTGAGGATGGCGTGGATGCTCACAAGGATACCCAAGGAGAGCTGTGCCAGCACAGCATTCAGCAGGACGGCTAGCACAGACCATCCCATCAAAACAGTCCTGACAAAGGACATGTTGTCCACATGTCAAAAACACAGCAGCACGTTCATCACAGTGCAGCATCATGCAGTCCTGATAGCGTCCTTGCGCACAAAGGGACAACGAATATTTGGGTGATAGGGATGTGTACAATGAGGAAATGCTGGACACCTTTCGATATATATATATTAGTAATGGTTGTATTTAATAAAATATATTATATTGTATTTTAATATATATATCGTCAAATAGAACTGCCCGGTAAACCGTAGGCAGAGAGGGAGAAGAGGACAACAAAC